AATCAAGTTCCGCAGGGCAGTCTCTCAAAGAATTCACTGCTGCTCATTCATGAACATTTGGCAGTACAAGAAAACAGAACTGGGAAGGAAAACCAACACTGCCTTTGTGTAGTACGGGAAGGACCCGCAGACAGACAGTAGCTCTATCATCGTAACGTAACTGTTATATTCACTTGTCATAGTGGGTCTGTGCCTTAATGGCAATAATTAATGATTAGATCAGAAAGAATATAACTTCCTATAATTTACTATAATTAGGTGACGATATAGGAGCGAGATTTCGAAGAAATGCTGGAATGGTCATCAAGGTATTTCTATTGAAACATTTAAGCAGAGAGAATGCTTAAATGAGGGCCTGCAGTGGCTCAGAGGTTAAGACGCTGAGCTGCAGACCAGAAGGTCTGTTCTTTGGCAGTTCGAGACCCGAGTGCCGCGAGACGGAGTGAGCTCCTGCCAACCTAGCAGTTCAAAAGCAAGAAACTGCAAGTAGATAAATAGGTACCACTTCGGTGGGAAGGTAACAGCATTCTGTGTGCCTCGGTTTTTAGTCATGCTGGCCACATGATCACGGAAAAGTCTTCAGACAGCGCTGGCTCTTCGGCTTGGAAACGGAGATGAGCACCACCCCCTAGAGTCAGATTCGACTAGCTTTCGAGCAAGGAAAACCTTTACAGGAGTGAGATTCATAGGAAATGCTGGAATGGTTATCAAGGACTTTCTCTTGAAACATTTAAGCAGAGAGAATGGCAGTACCCAAGGAGAAAAGCCACATTCTCGTGATCTCAAACCGCAAAGCGCTTGGATAATCTTTGGCTGAGGAATTTATCCCAAGGATTTTTCTTGGCTGAGGCAAGGACCGTGAGCAAGATACAGCAAAGTACTGATACCTGGTAAAGAGTATGGGTACATGGGGGGAGGGGGGATGAACAATCTGGGAACCAGCCAACTTACCACTCAGGCTGAGACAGCATTAGCAGGAAATACCACTGTGCTCATCAAACACAGAACCTGAACTTAGCATCGCTGCCCATAAGAACATACAAAGAGCCCTGCTGGACCAGACCAATATCCCATACAGTCCAGCAACTTGTCTTACCAGTTGCCCTGGCGGTCCAAGGAACAGGGCACGGATGCCAAGGTCCTCCCCTGATGTTGACTCCAAGCACTGGGTTTCCTGCCTCGGAACTTGGAGGCTGCCTTTACTCACCACGGCTAGTAGCCGCTGACAGACCTCTCCGCCATCCATCTGTTTAACCTCCCAATTAATGCATGATTGCAAAGGATAGATCCAGATGGATACTCGCTACCTGTAGAATGACTTTTCTTTATGCACATGAGCAAAGAGCACCACCCTGCCAGCGCTAGGCACAGCCAGGGGCATTGATTGCCTGAGATTGCCGATGACACCGCCAGGAAGCAGACTCACTGATGCATTACAGGGGTGTACGAGAATTCTCCCTAGCGCCGTTGTACTTTGGGCATGCCGTGAACAAGACAAGACTCCCTCGAAAAGACCGTAATGTGAGGGAAAGGGTGAATGCGGTAGGAAAAGAGTCCTTCCATGTCACGTTAGGTCTTCCCAGGGCTTTTTTGAAGAAAAAGCCCAGCAGGAACTCATTAGCATAATAGGCCACACCCAACAGCAGGAACTCATTAGCATATCAGGCCACACCCCCATGTTACCAGAAGTGTGGTCATCCAGCCACACCCACCTTTTGCTTCTTATTCTGTTTACCTTGTTTGTTGTCAAAACCCAGGGCTTTTTTTTGGAGCAGGAACTCCTTTGCATGTTAGGCCACACACCCTGAATGTAGCCAATCCTAAT